TGTAGGCACGGTATCCCTTTCCTTCCTCTCATTAAATCTATTCCAGTCAGATTCACTCCCACTTCACCTCAACTGCTGAACTCAGTGGTCAGCTAGCAGTCATCTCTTTCGTAGTCTTTCAACACAGTAGATTGTGCCATTTTCCTTAAATACCTAGCAGCCACAATCCTACATTCTTGCAGTTTCCTTCCCATCTCTGTCTGTTCCTCCTCATATCCTCAGCCTGTAAATTTTGGAGTGCCTCCGAGTCAAGCCCTTGGGCCCCTCTGTTCTGTCTATATTCACTGATTTGGGGACCTCCAGTGTCATGGCTTTAAATAAAATCTTAATGCTGAGGTGTCCCAAATTGACATTTCTACCTTGGGTGTCTTCCTGAATTCTAAGTCCGTATATCCGATTGCCTACCTGTATCTGCATTTGAATATCTAATCGACATTTTAAAACTTACATCCAAAACCAGGCATTCGAACCTACTCCTCCTGTGGTCTGCCCCGTCTTCCAGTGCTTGACCAAAGCCGTGGAGTCGTGACTCCAGCTCTTTTCTTTCATGCTCTCCGTCTCTTCCATCTCTCAGCCAGCTTATTCAAGTTGCCTTCATACTGGTTTCCGGGCTTCAGCCTTTGCCCTGTCTGCTTTTTTTAAAGTCTGTCAGCCACTAGTCCTTTTTAAAATATGTTAGCTCATGCCATGCTTCTGCTAACCCTCAAAATTCACTCAAAGTAAAAGCCAGCATCCTTGCAATAGCCTTTAAGGCCCTAAACGACCTGGGCCCCCCTTACCTTTCTATTCTTACTTCTACCAGCCTTCCCCACCTCGTTCCACCCCAGTGGCTCTGGCCTCCTTGCTGCCCATCAACATGCCAGGTCCAGCCCACCTGTTTTTCCTCTTGCGTGCAATGCTCTTCTAGGTATGCCTTCACATGGCATGCTTGTTCATGTCATCTCTTAGGCCTTTCCTATGTGAAATTGTGTGTGCATGTGCATATGCTCATACACACACACAGACAAATACATTTACACACACATTCTCACTCTTTAATCTCCTTTGTGATTTTTGAAAAATAACCTCAAGTTGTACATTCTTATTTAATTTGCCCTCTACTCTGTAAGGGCAGTGATTCTTGTCTGTTTGCTTTACCCCTGTGTCCTCTGAAGCACACCAAGATTCCAGGCATGGCTAAAGAAAGGGGAGTTGAATACTGAGGAAATAACTGGAGACTCAAGAGAATTTGGTGTCATGGAAGCCAAGGGAATAGAATGTACCCCAAAAGAGAGTGTCAGCACTACTGAGAAGTAAATGAGATAAGGGCGAAGTGTCCCTAAGCTTCACTCAGAGGTCCTCAGTGAGCTCTGAGAACAGATTCAGCGCAGTGGCAGGTGTCACACCTGGAGGCACTTGATGTCAGCTTGCACCACTGTTGGCTGATACTAACTTTGCTTACTTGGTTAAAGTGGTGACTTCTAGATTTTTCCATTGTATGAGCATTTTTTCTTCCTTGTAATTAATAATCTTTGGGATTCTATTTTGAAAATGTTTGACTGTTTCATTCTTCAACAGTCTTTCACACAGGAGGTTTAGAATCCTCTGATGATTCTTATTTGATTTAGTTATTTTAGCAATTACAGAAATGATGATTTTTAAAATTTTATCATTCCTTCTCCATTTATTACTTGGGATTCTTCATGTTAACTCTGAAAACCACTGAAGAGTAATAATCGTCACATGAATACATTTTGCTTTGCTCCCCAAGAGATGAGTTTCTGAAAAATTGTGTATAACTGAACTATATTCCCTTAGGAAAATGTGAGAGGTATATTTCCATAGTAAAAAAGAAATCCCTGTAGCCCTATAAAAACTGTTTAAGATAGGATAACTCGTAATGTATTTAACAGGTAAAAACCCTTTAATAAAATGTAAATGACCATAAGCAATCAATAATATGCAATACCGAAAATACCCTATCGTACATTATTATGACCTGGTGATGAAGATATGTCTTTTCTTGTTGAGAGATTATTTAGCAGTTTTTCGTAACCAAAAATGAATTTCAAATATGACTTTGACATGTTTGACATGTAGTGGTGACATCACCGGTGTTTAACATTTCACTCTCAATGCTGTGGTCAGGTTACTCACCCTTTGGGCCTCTATGTTCTTCTTTATAAATTGAGGTGGACAGATTATGAGAGCCTTTCAAATTTTAATGTTGAATGATTAAAACTTTTATTATATAGTTGAGCTTCAACCCTTCCTCCCCCCTCCCCCCCCAACACGCGCACATGCACACACACACACACACTTTGGCTAAAGAGGGTACAGCTGACCCTGGAACAAGCCTGGGCTTGGGACACAGTGTCGAAAATCTGCATATAACTACTAGTTGGTCCTCTGCAGGCTTCGGGTCAAAAATACTGTATTGTCCTAGTTACTTTGTTTGCATTCATTGGAATAAAAGTAGTAAGATAGAATCCAGAGAGAGCAGAAGAAAGGAAACAAAATGTGAACAAAAACTGTTACGTATAAGAATAGATTAAGGTGGGTCTCAGTTTCTTTTTCAGGAGGATATGCTATAGGAGTCTCTTCTTTTTTCCACTCAAAATTTTTTAATAAAGACCTCCCTTGACAAACAAAATCAGAGATATCTTTATAAACCCGCAAGGGAGAGGAGTTTAATAACCCACCAGTTCAACGTCCCTTCCTCTCCAATAATTCACTACTCCCAGCTGCATCTGACAGAAACTACTCCTTTCAACATAGTAATGGAAGAAGGATCAATTTCTACCCTTAGGTATCTGAGGAGAATTTATTCTGCATTATTTCAAATTTCAGCTGCCTCTTAAGCTTCTATGCCTGGTGGAGGGGATGGGGCGGGGCGGAGGGCAGGGTACCAGAAAACTAGCTCTCTGCTTACTCCTCATTTCTTATTAAACTAATGGCTCAATTAAAGTATTTTGTACCAGAACTTTTTTTCCGGTCCCTGGGAATAATGAAGGACTGGGAGAGGGGAAGGGACTGACTCACTCTGCTGGGCAACAGTGCACTTTAGGAGAGAAGTTAAGGAACAAAAGGTCATTGTGCCTTTTTGTTTTAATTTAAAATTTCTTATTTACCATACAGGGTTTTTTACAAAACATGATCCATTACTCACCAAGAGCGAATGGCAAAAGAAGCTGACTCCAGAGCAATTCTATGTCACCAGAGAAAAAGGAACTGAACCAGTAAGCTAAGTGGATATACAATTTTCTGATTAGATGCAAGGGACAGGGGAGGGTTGGAACAGATCTCGTTACAGCACCTAACTCATCATCATCTACTCTGCAAATCTGGTCTGTTCCGTTGTTCTCAAGTCATCATCCATCCAGTTTAGAAGCCAGAACATGTTGGTTTCTGGACATGGCGCTTTCCGCCCTCCATCGCCTCGCCTGTCTCTTCCGCCTCCTAAGTAACCCACTCTTCTCTCCACGTCTCTTGCTGCCACACTGGTCCAGGTTCCCTCCACCTCTCACTTGTCGACTGCAGGAGCTTCCAGTCGTTCTGCTCACAACCATTCTTGCTCCTCATCTAGTCAGTCCCCACACAGCCACCAGAAGCTTTTCAAAACACAAATCTGACCACATCACTCCCCTGCTCAGAATCCTTTAGTGGCTCCCCACCGCTTTTGAGGTAAAGAGAAAAGTTTTTAGGTAGTTAATAAGGCCCTAAAGGCTCTGCCTCTACCTCCCACCCCATCCTCAAATCTACCATTTTTCCTCTTGATCTCTACACTTTGGCCCCACTGTCCTTTCAGCTCTCAACCCCCTCCCTCCAGGCTCCCTTCTCCCTTACGGCCCTGGTACCCTATGTTCTCTCCCACCACCGTCCCCCCAGTTCATTCAAACCTGTATTTCAGCTCTCAGCCCAAACCTCATTTCCTCAGGGAAGCCTTTACTCAGCCCCAAGCTGGGTGTACTGGTCCTTTTCCTTAATAGCATTTGCCATTGTTGGTATATGCCTAGCACATAACATGGTGCCTGGCACTCAAAACATAAATGGCTTTGAAAACATTATTTACACTGCATTCAGCAATCTCAGCTTTCATTCATTTCCTGAGAGAACAGTCCTCATTGGTTCCTGGTTATAATACCATTTTTACAGTGCTGCATTTCCTAACAAGTTGTCTGTCTCAGACCCAAATATGGCCACTAGAATATAGCTATTGAACTTGGTTATTAGATGCTTTCATTTGTGAAGCAGACACAAAGTGGACCACAGCACAATGGTTTTGCAAAGTTGTAGAGTATATCTTTACCTTAGCAGTCCCTGAAAAGTTTAGCTGGCTGTCCGTGTGCATGTGGCCATATAATCATGGTCTCACCCTTGACTTCTCTGATACTAAAGTCATTAGGCCATCAGGTCCTGATAGATTTTCGTGAAAGACTGGTATTTTTGGAAACTTGCTGGGGTGGGATTTTAATACAGCCTTCACTGGGAAAGAAACTGCATTCACCATTATTGCAGATGGCACAAGGGAGCCATACGTGATGCTTTCTACAGTTGTGTGTATTCCTAAAATATTCTAAGCCACCCTTGTTCTCAGGGACAGAGCCAGGAAGGGTTTGGTATATTACACAGAGCCTGGAGATGAGCTGCCAGATGTTTAGGACAGTAAATCTGTGAGATTCTCAAACAGATGGTGCAATATACTCTGTATGTTTGGCCATTTTACAAAATGAGCCTCATCCATTATTTTAACTAATGTTATACATCTTTTTCACTCAATCCATTTCCTTATTTAACATTTTAGAATATTGCAGAACTATAAGCCTTTGTTAGCTTCATGAGGCTAAGGAAAGAAAAATAAAACGTCTTAACTTTCTACTTGGTGACTCAAAATTCAGTTACACGTTTTTTTATTAGGCAGCAGTAATATGCCAATACCCTGCTAGATATGACAAAGGAGTTTATAGCCTGGTTGAGCACTAACTAAAAGTCAAATATCAATAGAAGGTAGGCTTTATGCAGCTCATCCCGTCTGCCCTACGGATTCACTCTCCACATGCTTCGCTCTGCTCTGAGCTCTGAGCTCTGAGCAGAGCAACCAACCCCCTTCCCCTCTGGCTACTGATTGAGCTTGGCCAGTGGGAGATGCGAGCGAGATCGGATGCCAAGAGAGAGAAGTCGGGATCCAGGGTCCTCTCTGGAGCTGTGTTCCCCTAGTGCAGGTCACAGCCGCTGCAGACAGGCCTCACCTGCAGCTGCAGTGTCACAGGTTCTGGTAACTGCCCCTTCCTTTGTCCCGAAGACCTAGTAGGGGTAGTGTATTCTTACAGTCACTGGCCCAGGGTGCTTCACCTTCCCTTGCTGGTTTCCATTGACCCTGTGCCCACCTTTGTAAATAGAGCTATATGAAATTATTTACAAAATATCCCTTTTTAAGGCTCTTCTATTTCCAATAGGTATGTTGCGTGACAAGATCAAAGAAGGGGGTACTCCCATTGGCCCAGATAGACTGTCCTAGTCAGCTCGGGCTGCTCTAGCGGAATGCTGACTACTGAGTGGCTTAAACCAGGGGTCCCCAACCCCTGGGCCACAGACCGGTACTGTGGCCTGTTAGGAACTGTGCCTCACTGCAGGAGCTGAGCGGTGAACGAGTGAGTGAAGCTTCATCTGTATCTGCAGCCGCTCCCCAGCGTGAGCATCACCACCTCAGCTCCACCTCAGATCATCAGGCATTAGATTCTCATAGGAGCACGGGTCCCTGGTGCCCAAAAGGTTGGGGACTGCTGGCTTAAACAACATTTATTTCTCACTGTTCTGGAGGCTAGAAAATCCAAGATCCAGGTGCCAGCAACTTGATGACTGGGAGAGCTTTCTTCCTGGCTTGCCACCTTTCTTCCTGAATGCCACCTTCTTGCTTGTCCTCACATGATGGAGAGAAAGCAACATTCTTATAAGGGCACCAATCCCATTCCTGAGGGCTCCACCCTCATGACTGAGTCACCTTCCAAAGGCCCCACCTCCAGATACATTGGGGATTGGGCTTCAACAAACATCCGGGCCCTAGCACAGACCTTGCAAACCCAAGGGGTTTCTTGAATTTCATTCTGTGTCTGACTCTGTTCCCCTCCCCCATACAGTCAGTCATTTTAGTTTTCTCTTTTAAATAATGATTGAATCTGTCCTCTTCTTTATATTTACACTGCTACTGCCACCTCTTAATCCAGCCCTGCATTAATGGCCGTTTGATTGTTCTTTGCCTCCAGGGTCTTCTTGCCCCTGCTCCAAGCCATTCTTCAAGTGGTTGTTGTGTGCACACCCAGTTTAAGTTTCCAGTGGCTTCCCATTTTCAGAAATGTTTAAACTCTTTAGCGTGGTCTCAGCTAAGCCCCTTCTGATCTAGGCCTCTCTGCCTTTCTAGCGTCACCTTTCTCTGTTCTCCACCTTGTCCTATTCTGTCACATGGGCTGTGCCCAAGCTGCTCTGCTTGTCTAAAAGACTCTTCCAGTTCTTCATCAGATTAACTCTTACTCATCCTTCATAATTCAGCACAGTGTTTTGGCATTTTCCTATCAGAAATATCATTTCAGCTGTGTAATTTTAAAAAATAATAAAAGGTTTTTTAAAAAACACCCTGGTCTCACACATCACCTGGCACAGAAAGCCTTCCCGGAAACCCCGCTAGTTGTAAAGGGACTGGTGCTACCCACACTCCCTGCTCATCTCCCCGCGGAGCCGTTATCACTGGCAGCTCAAATGCCTCTTCCTAACTGGGTAGCACATTCTTCGAGTGCAGGAACCATGGGTTGATCTTTTTTCCCATCCAGCCCAGCACTGGGTACATGTTAGGTTTTCTGGTGGACACTAGAATGAACAACTGAGATGGCAGCTGAGTTTGGCCCTCAATAAGTGCTAGGCTGTGTGTATAATTAGGGAAGGGGAGACATCAGGATCCCAGGCAGGGAGGCAGCGCATAGATGTCATCTCATCAAACGTTTCAGCTAAGGATACCTTTTCATTTTAAATTTTTTTCAGCTGTAGTACCAGGTCCCTGTCACTTCCTCTGTCCTCTGCAATGACAAAATTATATTTTGAATCTTATCAGACTTTCTGGATCCTGTGAGTAGGCTTTTCTAGACCAGCTTCAGGACTGGGAGCCCTTGAACGTGTGCATCTCATCAGCCCAGGAGGGAGGGGTATGAAACTGCCTCCTCAGTACAGATGCTCGCTCGAACCAGTGTTGGGAGCGGGCATCCTGGAGACGGGCCATAAAAAGACCAGCTCACTACTGTTCAGATTTCTGCAGCTAAGTTTAGGGTCTTTAAAGAGGAAAAACATCCAAGTGTGCCCAGATGGTTGGCTCAGTAGGTTAATTTGAAATTGTCCATTATTTAGCTCACTGAAAGTGTGCCGTTAACACCACACAGGGAATTTGAATGTTTGGCCTCTGAGTTTGTTGAGTTGGGGTATCTAGAGCGGCCAGAAGAGTCCAGTGCCTGTCCCGAGGCAGCTCTGTGAGCCAGTGATCCAGTCCATGCTCCTGCTTCTCTTCTGTCCCACAAAAAGGGACAGTGCTTCCTGGTCAGCTCACGCAAAGGTTTCTGTTTCCTTAATTTTCTTTGCCAGAGGAGATAATAAAAGAAATTAGACAAAAATGGTCTTCTTTTTTTAAACAGTGAAATCCACTTCGCAAAATAAAATAACATTTTTAAAAAACATTGCCTCGGTTCACCCATTGCTGCAGGTCTCCTTGTGCTCCTCTGGGAAACCTTTGAAAACCTGCAAACTCCCGAAGCCATTGTTATTATTAACATAGTAATCTCATCTAAGTCTTCACTTGGGCACTGGGAGAACCTAGCTCATTGTTTAACATTTATTAAGTGCACAGTGTCCTAAACACTGTGTGAAGCACATTAAAGGCACAACCCCAATCTCACCAGCCTAGCTTTTTAGGTATTTATATTCTATCTTTAATTCGAGATTTCAGAGTGTTTTCGATAGTAGACTAGATTCCCGTCGTATTGACTTGAAATGGAGACTGAAATCTTACATAGTCCAAGCACTGTTCTCGCCCCTTTTCATGGACCTTGCTGTTCCTGGATGAAAGGTGCTACATAAATTCAAGGCATTATTAACGTCATGATCTGAATATTTGGCACAATAAAGGCCGGGGTGTAAACAAAGTCTCAGTCTGCTTCATTGGATGCATGATAATTTTTTCTCTGGTGATATTTGCACTTTGTCAAATTAGCATAAAAAGTCTTTTATTTGGGGACTTCATTGTGGACTTAACTGCACTATATTATCTCCTGCTGCTGTTCTGAGAAACCTGAACATGGTCTATCTAATTGACTTTCAGCCATTCAGTGGGGTCTACCTGAATAACACGGAATCGGGAATGTATCACTGTGTGTGCTGTGACAGCCCACTCTTCAGGTGAGTCAAAGGATCAAGAGGTCCTGAAGGAGAACACACCTCCAGATTCCTTCAGCTCTGTCTCCTGTGAGGCCTTGGATAAATACATACCCATGTTGTTTTATTTGTCCTTCTGGTTTGGCATGGCTATTGTGAGAGCTATTTATATAGGATACTTGCTTGTCTTATTATTTCTAGCATTTAGAGCAGTTAACATGAATTCTTAGCCTGTATGCTTTCTTTCTGTATTCCTGAAAAATAGCAAAATAATCGGACTTGCTGAGCACCTTAAGAGAAAGCTATTAGAATTTTTTTCTTTGGAAAGTATTTAAAGAAATCTAAGCCATAATCATATTTGCTTGGCCATGTGATTAAAACTATATCTCTCCCAGGGAAAAATGGGTTTATAATTCAATTTAGGAAATGTAGAATTTTATGAGGACAGATTCTCCACAATGCTTGACAGTAGCGAATACCATGCCCTCTTCTCTGTAGCTAAAAGTAAATTTAATTGTCCCTTGATTTCAAAGCCTCTTTTAAGTCAATCAGGATCTGAAATCTCTCAACAAAGGCTTTTTTGTTTAGACATGCAGAAAACAGTCTAAAAAAAAGTAGATCCGAAGAAGAAGAAAGGAAAACATCTTTGAAGTCTTGTTTTTCAGAACTTCAAAGATTTTTTTTTTTTTGCTTTTGCATCAACCCTAAATTGGTTTAGAATAAAATATAAATCAAGCCAGCTCTGTGAATCTTCCATTAGGCAGTGCTACATTATGTCCTTTGGGCTTTGAGCAGACTGGGCTTTCCTGCTAATGTGGGCCAAATTTGGAAAGCCAGACCCCACCTGTAAGGATTGATTTTCCTTCGTGCTTACAGAAAGGCAGGCCTTTCCCCAGACTCATTCACTCTGTCTGTGGCTGGTGAGGAGATATCTAAGGTGGCAGTCAGCCCAAGGTGGCCTGGGGACAACTAGGAGAGGAAGGTTAATTTTGACACAGTAAAATGTGGTACACGTATTTCTGAGACATTAATTATGCCATAACCTCTGGTTCTGTTAAAGAGGAGAAGTAGGACCTCGAGAGGGCCACCTGCTTTTAGCCAAAGAACCACATTGTAAGAGTGTAAAGGACTGCCTTGTTACAGACAGGTGATGGGCTTCTGCCTTTGGACTGTGAGAACAAAAGGTGAGAGGCCACCCTTGTAAGAGCACTCTGCTACACTGTTACTTCACTGGTATTTTAGTTTATGCAGTATTAAACTTGAGACCTTCCTCCTGCACAGTGCCACCCCCACTCTTGCCCCCACCCCCCACCTCCTGGGTCAGGCCTGGAACCACAGAACGTTGGATCCAGGGAGACCTAAGAGGCCAGAGTGGAAAGCTCTGCCCATTAGACCTTTCTGCAGTGATGGAGATGCTCTGTGTCTGCTCCATCCAGTATGGTAGGCACTAATCCCATGTGCCTACTGTGCACGTGGCATGTGGCTAATGCAGCTGAAAATCTGAATTTTTTATTTTATGTAATTTTAATTAATTTAACTTAAAAGGCCACACGCGGCCAGTGGCTTTTGTGTTAGCACCATGCTCGCCTGGATTAAGGAAGTTGAGTGACCAGCCCCCAGTCACTAAGGCAGTGAAGCAGCGAAGACTGGCAGGACAGCCAGATGATTTGCCAGAGGCCTGTGTACCTAGTAGCCAGTTTACTGAACTGCCAACTCACCAACTCTATTCATTTCTTTTTTAGTCATTTAGTTTTATTGAATAGCTTTCATTTTCTTAAGGACTTCCGAGTTTGTTTCTGTTCTGTTTTCCTGCTGCTATTACAGCCAAGATTGAGAAATAAGAATAAATTCATAAGAATCATTTAGGTCCCAGAATGTGCTCTTCTTAAAGATGCATTTGTCTATAGGAGAGATAGAGTAGAAGAGTGGTTAGGGCTGCCCGGAGGGTACATACTGGGTCCATTGTCTTATAATCTTGGGCAAGTTTCTTAACCTCTCTGCCTCGGCTTGCTCACCTATAAAATGAGCAGGACAGTAGAACTGAACGCACAAGGCTGTTGGGAGGATCAGCTGAGCTGTGACTGACACGTAAAAGCCTCAGAGCAATGCCTGGCACATGCCAACCACTCAGTAATAGCAATGATGTATCCTTAGAGATAGATCCCTTTTAGGGCTAGATACATGACTATATATTGAGAATATATTCCAATTAATGAGAATCAATCAAAGAAGACTATATTCCCGAGTGTGCTTCCCATTCCAGAGGATAATCTTAGGAATATATCCTTGTTTTGCCTTTCATCTTTCCCCTCCCCATGTCCCCAGTCTCTAGCCTTAATAATAGGGAACAGGGCTGGAGAAAAATAAACGTTCTTCCAAATGCTCGTATAGAGTCAAAAAGAAGTGAAAAGTCAGTCGACCAAAACTAAATAGTAAAGAGTCAAGTGGATGTGGGGCTACGGCCTCTGGGCGGCGGGGCTTGCTGCTGCCTGTGGACTCGCCGTCTCACAGAACCAACGTGGTGCACGTTCTGGGAGAGCTGCCAGTCAGAAACCTTTCATCTTGGGTTCCAAGGTCAAGAACACTCGTGGGATGTTATCATTCCCCAGAGTACTCCAGACTGTTGCTTCGCTTCATTAACCTTGGAATTCCATGACTTTGCCCCCTCCCCTGCTTCCTCTCTGCCCCTTGAATGCCACTTCTGGAAATGTTTGTTAAAATCACATATTTCATGGCCATAATCTTAGAAGGAAGCAGAGAGTCTAATACTAGTTCCTTTTTTGCATTACATCCCAATGTCCTACATGTTATAAGTAGGTAACAGCCTTTTTTGGGCTCCCATCCCCTCATTTTGGGCTTTCATTCCCTTCAAAAGAACAGAAAGTCTTCTAAGTTACTGTGGTTTTAGTTATTGCCAGATGCCTCTGCTGTTGGTTTGGGGACCTGCGGAATTTCCAGAAATGAAGAAAAACAAAGCAAATAAACATAACAAAACTAAACAAAAGAAACACCTCTAAGAGTACATGAAAAGAGATGATCCAGAATGGTTTTAGTTTTTCAAGAGATTGGGCCTTATAGTCCGCTAATCATTTCAATACATATATCGGGATTTCCAATTGGCCTTAATATTTAGGTTGCCAGTCTTAAATTTTGTATGGCCTCTCATGTTACTTGGCAAAATCTTCAGATTCTGTTAATTGCATCAATAAAGGTTTATTTTTTCCCATAAAATATTTTAAATTACTTTTCATTAGTCTTAGATTCATTCATTAATAATGTATTATATTCATAATTCTCCATCAAAATTCCTTTAATTATCACTAGTTTGTAATGTTGAGAGTGGAAAGGCTATGGTTAGAAGATACTTAAGATGTTTTCCCCTGGGCCAGCGTGGGCAAAGACAAATGTTCGTGAACCTATGGAAAAGCCCTGCAGAGAACCCAACCTGGATGTGTAGATTCTTCTCATTGGACCCATGGCTGCTGAAATTTCATGGATATCTGTTATTATTAATGTTAAAAAATAATAGCTATGATTTTTGTACCATGTGTCTGACACTACACTGAAGACACTGTATGTAGAAAGTATCTCCATTAACCGTCTGAGCAGCCCTGTAAGATAATGATGCTGAGGCTTTAGGAGATTAAATAGCTTGCCAGGTCACATAGATGTGACAAGTGGAGCCTGGATTCACACCCGTGTCTTTCAGAAGTCAAAAAGCCCTTTCTCCTCAAAGTCATACCTGTGGTTCTCAAAGCCCGGTCTGAGGACCTCGAGAGGTCCAGGGACCCTTTTAGGGGATCGATCGGGCCTTCTGTTTTCTAACTGCATATTTGCAAGGCCACATCCTCTTCCTACACTTCAGTCCGGACAGCACTGCCGCATTGAATGCAGAAGCACACATGACGATTCAATCGCCTTTATTTAAGTTAGACATTAAAGAGATTTGCAAAATTGTAAAGTAATGCAAGGCTTCTCACTAAATGTTTGTTTCATTTTGGGAAGTAAAACTATCTGTCATAAAATGTTTATATTATTATGTAATCAGTTATTTCAAAAATAATGTACATGTTTTAAATTCACAAATATTTAACAAATTCTAATTTGTTAAATATTTATATATATAACTCATGTAAACAAAAGTCGTCAGCGATCCGCAGTAATTTCGTAGTATTAGAAGTCCTGAGACCAGAATGTTTGAGAATCACTGCATCACACTAGACACTTCTACCGGGGTTTGTGCTCTAAGCTGACTTCCTGTCTCTGATCATAGTCTAGGGATTTGATTATTCACCAGATTTTTTTCCCTTTGCTCAGTTTTTTTGTAGGGCATATAATTCATTTCTTCTCGTTTTTCCTTAGAGCTATCTCACTACAATTTAAAAATTTTAAATCTATCTTCCTAGTGCCATTTGAGGGAGCTTATCTTTCAGAGCACTTAGGGCGGGTCTTTGGTGAGCGGATTTGCTAGTTGCCCTCCTCCTCTACTGGTTCCTCTGGCCGTCCCCAGCGTCAGCAGCACTAATCCCTGTGGGCCTTCTCCAGGTCAGGCTCCACTGCAGTGATCGACTCAGGGTGACTAAGCTTATTTATTAATAATAATAGCCATAGTGAGCACTCATGAGCATTTACCATATACTCCACAGAGAGTAGCTCTTTACATTCTCAGCACATCTCCATAGGGTAGATGTTATCTCACTTTACAGATGAGAAAACTGAGGCTTAGTGAGGTGAAGCAGCTTGCCCAGTTTCACACAGCTAAGTGGCAGAGGCAGCTTTTGGATCTCCGCATGCAGTCAGGCTTCTGTGTTTAGATAACGTGAAATTCCCCTCAATAAAAATGGCTATTCATCAGATCTCACACTTCCTTGATATGCCAAGCTCATGATGCCCTCCTTCAACCACTATTATTTCATTGTGATTTCCCCATTTTACCACATCTGGAATACATGGGGTTCAATCTGTGTGACACAGTTCACAAAGCTAGCGTTTTTAGGTCCTTGTCAGACATTGAGAGGGAAGCCTTTAGCATCAAAAGAACGAGGAATCCTTTCACTGCAATGGGACATCTTTCATAGTGAAGGTGCAGTGGGCAGAATGCCTTTGGGACTGGTTGTCACGTAGCTGTCCTTGGGATCTGGCAGAGGAGAGAGGGAGGAAGAATGTACATTCACAACAGTCGTAGCAGCCGTAGTGTTGGACATGTCTTTCCAGTTCTGAGAAAAAGTACTGCTCCGGCACGGGGTGGCCTTCGTTTTCCGAGGCCCATGGTGCGTCTGGCTCTGATGAAAGCAACACCAGCATCCTGAGACGCGTGGATACCTCGCTGGGATCGGTTCGCACAGAGGTCGTCTGCAAGAAGGTGAGTTTCTTTGTTTTGCCTGTTTTGTTTTCCCTGATGCTGCCCCAAGTGCCACAAAGAGCTCTCTTGTCCTTGGCATATGTGGTTGTCACTGAAGCACATTGGATTTCTACTCACGCCACTTCTGGTCCCTCCCTCCCATCATCCTGGGCACTGCAGATAAGAGGAAGAGCCTTTCTTTGCCACTCTGAGTAGCCTTTCCTGGTTCCAGCCTTCCACAGCTGGGAGCAGAGTGGGGATCTGAAAGAAAGAGTTAGCCCTTCACATTCTTTTGAACGTGGACAGGGAGGAGGAAGGTCCAGCATGGTTGGCACCTCTCTACCTTTTTCCCCACTGTGCGGCATGTCACCAGCCGTCAGAGTGGCACTGCACGTGACATCAGCGCATATTCCTTCTGTGAGCTTAGTAGGAGAGAGTGGCTTAAATCCAGACAACGGATTAGTTTTGATATCCTCGTGCTCAAATTTTCTGGTTTTATAAAATATCAGAGGCAAGCAAATCAACATAGCAGTTTTAGGTAAAAAAATAATAATAATAGTAAATCAACTACAACATCATTGAATGCTTATCCAGAAATTACATTAATGTTTTACATACCTTATATCAAGTACTCATCACTACAGCTCTGTTAAATAGGTGTATTTATCCCCATTCTATAGGTGAGTAAATCAAGGCCTAAGTTCAGTAACTTGCTCACATCCTCACTGATGAAGCAGAGAGCTGTTCACTGCTGCTGCGCTCTGCATTGTTACACTTCTTAGTCAAATGCTGATACCCTAGACTTTTCCCCACACAGATATCAGACACTGGGGTGGGGCGACCATGTGGGGCTCATCTGTCCAGTTTTACATAAAGAGCTTTGTGTCCGTGGAGATGTGACCGAGGCCTCTCTCCTTTGCAGTGTGCAGCTCACCTCGGCCATGTGTTTCCTGACGGACCCGGGCCTGCTGGTCAGAGGTTTTGCATCAACAGCGTGGCATTGAAGTTCAAGCCGGGGAGACGCTGACTTTCTCCCAAGTCCTCGTCCCTTGCCACTCCCTCATTGGTACCCTCAGTTTTCATAACTCATGTAAATGGCTTACTTTATTTACTGCCAAACTAGGCTAATTTTGCTGCTGATACTCCAAGTCACAGCTTTGATTTGTTTACCTGAAATTAACTCAACTCTGACTCCAGCTTTGTCTGTGGAATTTCACAGAATGACAGAGGGACAGTCATTTCCATCAGATTGACTTCTGTAGGCTCTGTCTGGGACCTGAGGACGTCGCTCTGTGGGGACATTAAGAAGCTGATGGACCATAAGCCAAAAAATTCCTGCAAACTACCCTAAACTTTCCATTGCAGTTAAGTCCTCCATGGACACATGTAGGTGAAAAAAGGAAGGAAAATAACGGGATTAGTCAGCAGCCCAGTCTTGAAAGAAGCACCACGGGGAAGAACGTAGAGGGGCACACATGGCGATGGATGAGGTGCAGAATTCTTTTTCAAAATTTTAGAAGAACTTGAACATTCTAGTTCCAACCTTCCTACCTGCATAAGTTCCAATGGAAGTTTCTTAGATTTCAGTGAGAATGAATAAAAGCGGCTACAGAGTTAGACTTTATTCAAATAAAATATTTACTAAAATTTATGTTTATGCTTTTTGTCTAAGTCTATGAATTTTCTCTTTTACAAAAATGACTCCTACATCAAGTGCCAGAAAAAAATCATTAGATCATGTGGCAGTTGGCATTCGATTATATTAACACTAAAGACAACTCATGTGTATTACAAATTGAGAGTCTTCAGTAATTTTCTACGGAAAGTGTTTAAATCATTTTCTTTGAGACTTTGTGGGCAGAAAGGAAACTTAATTATTCCATTTTTCTCTTTACTAACTTATAATGCATTATTTAATTCTTGTGTTAGTGGTTGCCTTGCTCTGGTCATATGAAAAGTATTACTTTTTTCTACTTGTCCAAGAATACTAACTTCAGAACACTTTAACTGCATTAACACCCTCCCATATTTTTGGTGTTATTGTCATGTATTTCATTTTAAACCCCACAAATCGTGAGTGTACATGTCGATATTCATTTCCATTTTCCTACATATTTGCCCTTTCTCTTGCTCTTTGTTTCTTCCTAAAATTCCATGTTTCCCTGTAGGATTATTTTTCTTCTGCCTGAAGAAATCCTTTTACTTTTCATTTTACTTCATGATTCCTAGTGATGAATCTTCTCAGTTTTGTTGGTGAGAAAATGTATTTATTCTCCTTTCATTTTTTAAAGTTTATTAAGGAAATATTGACATACCAAAAAATTGTACATATTTAATGTGTAAATTTTGATGAGCTTGGTCCCCTTTCATTTCTGGGGAATTATTTTCCCTGAACATAGAATTCTAACTCGGAGGAACTTTATTTTGGTATTTTAAAGTTTTGTTTCATTATTTTTTTTTTTTATGGTGACATTTGTTAATGAAATCCAATAAGTTTCAGCTGTACACTTTAACAATAAGGCATATATATATATATTTATACTGCGTGTTCACCTCCCATAGTTAGGTTTCTTTCTGTCCCCACATATTTGATCCCCTTACCCCGTCTACCTCCCCCCCACTCTTGTTCCATTGTCTTATGGCTTCCATTGTTTCTGCTGAGAAATTAGCTGTCATGCTTTGGTTGCTCCTTTGCAGGTAGTGTGTTCCCCTCCCACCCAAGTGTCTATGAATTTCTTTTTATATGTTCTCAGAAGTTTGTGATGTACCCTGATGTAGTTGTCTTTGTCTTTATTGTGCTTATGATCCATAGAGTTCTTTGAATCTTAGGTTGATACTTTCATCAGCTTGGGAAAATTATGTTATTAATCACTATTGCTTTTTCTCTATTCTCTCTCCTCTCCTTCTAGGACTTGAATTACACAAATTTTAGACTATTTATTGCATTTCATGTATCTCGAAGGCTCTTTTCTATATTATCCCAGTCTTTTAAATTTCTGTACTTCAGTTTGGACATTTTCTGTCAACTTTCTCTAATTTACCATCCTCATCCTTTTGCTTGTTCAGTCTGCTTTTAAACACAGTTCTTAATTTTAAGTGTTGTACTTTTTTACTCCTAAAGTTAACTCTTTGATTTTTTATAGATTCCAATTACCTGTTGAAGTTCTTCACAGATCTGTTTTCTCCCATGTTTTTAATCTTTTTTTCTTGAGTATATTAAGCATAGTTTTAAAAACCCTCGTTTGCTAACTTTACTATCTGGAGCACCTATGGGTATATTTTATCTTTTGATTTTTAGCCATGTTCTTTTCTTTTGGAATGTCTAGTGGTTTTTTAATTGGATTTCAGATATTATGTGTTTTAAAAATACTGCACTCCCAGCTGACGTTACCTTCCTTTTCCCTGTGCCGATCAGAGAGAGTGTTGTCCACTTGTTTTGATTCAGTCAGAGACTGTGCTAAATTGTATATCTAGAAGCTGGGTTGTACACCTGATAAAGCTCATTCTACCTCTGTATTAACCCTAACCTTTCAGCCTGAAGGTCAGCTGAGAGCCTGTGTATTCTCTGAGACCCTTCCTCCTAAAACAGTTTGAACCCTTAATCTCTGTTCAGAAAAACTGATGCAAAACAATGCTCTGCATTTCAGGGGCTTTCCACTTAGGGTTTTAGCATCCTCACCCATACAGATCCCATAGTCACCAGATGTGCTAAGAAGAAAACTAGCCATTTACATAGAGGCTCCATGTCTGTTAAATGCTCATTCATTTCTGTGTCCCCTAGCAGATGCCCTTTGTGACTATAAAGCCCAAATTCTCAGGCTCCTCGCAGAGTTCAGAACTGGCCAGGATAAAAGTAGCTCTCTGGGGTCCTTCCCTCCCTGAAGTTGTGGTAGGTAGAATAATGGATCTCTAAAGATGTCTATATCCTGGTCCCCAGACCTGTAAAAACATTACCTTTTATGGCAAAAGGGTCTTTGCTGGTGTGAATAAGTTAAGAACCTTGATACTGGGAGATAGGTTATCCTGGATTATCTGGGTGGGTCCATTCTAATCTCTAGTCCTTAGAAGTAGAGAACTCCCCCTGGCTGGGGTCAGGGAGAGAGATGACGATGGAGGAATGGTCAAAGAGATGCTACATTGCTGGCTTCGAGGATGGAGGAAAAGAGCCACAAACCAAGCAGCGTGAGCAGCCTCTGGGAGCCAGGAAGGCAAGGAAATGGATTCTCCCCTAGAGCCTCCAGTGCAACCCTGCTGACATCTATTTTATCCCAGTGAGACCATTCAGATTTCTGCATAACCGTGAGATAATATCTGTTTTTTAAGCTACCACATTTGTGGTTGTTACAGCAGCAATAGAAAACTAACACAGGAATCTTAGCCCCCTTAGTTTTCATTACCACAGGAGATTTCTGCTGCCGACGGAGAGATAATTTCCATATTTTGCTTATCTGTCCCAATCGTTCTGGATGGGAGTACTGGTATGCTGCCAACTGTTTATTGCTCCTGGATGTTAGCTCACAATGTTTAGTCCCCAAGCCTTTTAACTTTGCCCTCACAAGCATCTGTGTAAGGGAGACAAAGAATATGCTTATTGCCATTTTATATTTGAAGTGGAAGTTCAGGAAGGTGAAATGAATTACTCAAAATCAGATAACGGGTAAAAAGCCAAGTCAGGACTATAACGCAGGTCTCTAGACCCCATGTCCAGTCCTCTTCTTGTTATCCTAGTTCCTATGACCCACAATCAGAATCAAGAACTCCTGTTTTCAAATTATTTTCATATAGGAAAATGCACTTATTTTAAGTGAACAATTTATTGAATGTTATGATTTTATACAATCATGTAACCTCTACCACAATTTTTCTGATCCTCTCCTTCACATATTTCAGGAAGCTATCGCTTTTCTTAGAGCGCTGGATATGCTTAATACGTACATTAATCCTCTTGGCACAGACCTTGCACTTCACTTTGTTAGTTTACGACAGTGCCAAAGGCATGCTGGGTAGCACTGAAGACTTCCGGGTTTGCCATGGTGACATTGGTGGGCATTCCCTTCATGTCTGTAGTATCACCGTCCTTGTGGACTCACATGTATGTGGCCAAAGGAATGGCTCTATGCTTTCCAAAAGGCCTAGAGAACATACAATACGTTCCTCTCCTCTTTCCATCTTTCCCTTTACTCATCATTTTGGCAAATTAATAGAAGATGGCAGTTCTGGCCAAAGGCCTAATAGCATTTGACTCATCCTGTGGCGTTTGATGAACCAAGATATTTTGTGCTGCATGCTGACTATGAATATAATTTATCTGCTGTGTTCTGGCTCCTAAACTTTAGTGGGTTGTTAACTATGTTCATTATATTGTAGCAGTTGTGATCATGTTACAAAAATATATAAATCACATTAACAGCTGGTTATCACCGTATTATAAAAAATATAAATCATTATTAAGGACCACAGATTCCATTTGCTAGCTGTTATGCTATAATTTTTTAAAAAATCCCTGGTGCCAATTTTATTATGACTGTCAGTGGGATTCTGCTCCTTTATTTTTTATCCCTTATAATTTGAGGAAATGTATTTATTTTAGAAAAAGAAGGAATTCCGGGAAGAATAATGGTATATTTATAGGGTGGCCATTTTTCCTTGATATTAAGTGTTGATTTTCATTTTTCTGCCTTTCGTTTCTTCTAGAGGGCAAACTCTGCTTGTCTCTGCCTCCTCTCTTTTTTATGTTTCAACTCAAAGAAATTGTTGGAGACTATATAATTCAGGTTCTTGGGCCCTCGTAGCATCTCAAATGCAGTCCTCTAGACTAGGAGGTAGAAGAAAGGAAATGCAGAAAAAAACAGCTAATCAGAAAGGTTCCTTTGCGCCATTCAGTGCCCACCTCTGTAACACTTTTTCCCAAAGTTTGCCTGATTTCAGGAGTGTTTGCCACATACCTGTTAAGTTTTCACTCTGACCACATTTTCATTTAAGAAGAACGTTTCCCCAAAATTGCTTCTCCAGCCTACCCAACATTCTGGAGGCTTCTGCCATGCAAGCCAAGTACTAACTCTACCACTCTCATGCTGAAGGGCCGAGTAATGCCGGTGAAGGAATGAGAGCGATTTCATAGAATGAAATGAAATCCGTTACTCTCCAAGTATGATTTCTTTGGCCTCAGAAGAGAATCTTCATAGTTGTTGATGGATTAACAACTTTATAGATTGACCATATTCAGGAAGTTCATGCCTACCTCTCATCAAATTAGTAACATAGACACATGGTTTTAGAAAAAAAGGCATAGAAGTTGAAAACAGTGACTCGTTTGAATAACTACAGAATTATGACGAGTGAAAGGAACATCGAATTCTGTGTTGGTGGGTTGGTTACACCTCTGCTCCGCTTTGCCAACAACAACAAATACTCCGTAAGTGATCGGTTTGACATATCTTAAGACCTGGAAGGACTATCAAACTGCTAGAGCAATTTGGGCAGAAGATATGAAAAGACATTTCTGCAAAGAAGACGTACATTGGTCAACAGACACATGAAAAGATGCTCAACATCCCTAATCATCAGGGACATGCAAATCAAAACCACAACGAGATACCACCGCACACCTGTCAGAATGGCTATTATCAATAAGTCAATAAAAAACAAGTA